TCGAGAAATCCAGCCTTTCCTAAGGTAAATGATGTCTAATGATGATAACAAAATCGACGTGTATACAGAGTGCCATGGATAAGGCCATTTTCTAATTCTAATTTCACGCGGGCGGGTTGTTTGTTTTTGATTTTGTCGACTGTACAGTATAGTGGGGTCGGTTGGGCACCGTCTGTGAGAAAAGAGCACCACGACGTTATGCTTCCATTAATCTTCCCACACGACCTCAGGCTCAACGCGGAGCCATGTATCAAGTGCCTTGAATAGGTAGTGTTGTCCTGAGTCAAAAGAGTTCGCTGCTGGAAGACCCTATGGCTTGTAACCCTGCACCAAGCCACACAGCAGGAGAACCTAGTCATGGCTCTGAAATAATTTTCTGCGACCACTTTCATCTGGTCATCTAACTCCACGGACTGAAACCCCCTCGAGTATTATGCATGGGGCGTATTTAAGCGAAAAACCAACAAAACACCATGTAACACCAAAGATGAACTGAAAAAGAAAAGAGTTACTTAAACAAGGAGACAACCCAGATTAGTAGTTTTTCAAGATATTTTAATAATATATATATATATATATATATATATATATATATATATATATATATATATATATATGTATGTATGTATGTATGTATGTATGTAAAAGTGAGCATGAGTCAACAGTCTGTTTCATGCTAGACGCAATCGTGGTTTATTTGTTTATTTATTTGGGTTAAATTATTTATATAAAATATAATATAAATTATTTAAATAAAATATAATATAAATAAACAAATAAAGTCACATCAATCCAACTAAATATGTTATCTCTATCACTTATATTGAGCGTTTTCCAATAAGTACCGCGCATATATAATATATAAATATTATATATATAAAATTGCATGCATATATATTTATATACATACATATTTTTACACACATATATATATATATATATATATATATATATATATATATATATATATATATATATATAAACACACTCCAAAATTTTACCACATCAGCAGATAGTTATTAATGTCAACATTCAATCAGTTATGTGCCGTGCGTGATACACGCTTAGTCGATCATGTATCTTCCGATACTTGACTGACGAGGCAGATTTTTTTCCCGCAGTAGGTTGCCATTTCTTTCTGGAGAAGACTTACGTGTTAATACCCGTGGGAAAGGTATATATCCTCTTCTTCCCCCAGCTATGGGTAAATAGCAGGACAGACCTGTTTCTATAACCTTGGATGGCAACTGGTTTACCACAGAAAGAAATGGCAACCTACTGCGAGAAAAAAAAATGCCTGGTCAGTCATGTATCGAAAGATACATGATCGCCTAAGCGTGTTTCACGCATGGCACATAACTGACTGATATAATATTGATATAATGGAATATGCATACACCTGAGTCCCCACTCACTGGAATATGATTGGCTGGTGTCCGTCATAAATACAGATGGACGTGTAGGTACGACAGAGTCTATGACAACGTCCATTGGATTACGACATTGGCTATCCTATTCGTCTACACCAATTACCTGCGACTACGACGAGTACCAGTCGATTACTGCTACCGTGTACTACTTGGTTACAGTAACCAAACCCACTTAGCTACTTCGATCAAATATATCCCTTTCCGGGAAATATCAAACATAAGCAATACATTTAAAAAAAAAATCAATCAATATATTTTTGAAAACCAATTGTCAGCATTAGATAGCCCATTGAGGGCGATACACCTTAAACCAAACCAAACCAAACTAAACCAAACTAAACCAAACTAAACCAAACCAATCTTTTTCTTTCACAATCAGTCACCCCTAACGTCTTAATGGCTATATTAACTTTGCTTGGGATGTGAAATTATTGTCATGTCATATAATATTACTCTATATTATCATTAATATATATTTTTCTTAAAATATCTATATTTTTTTAATCATTTCAACCCAAACATAGTAGGTATGCCACAAGTACCCAGGGGTTTCAGTCAGTTAACTGAAAGAAAAAAAAAGTATAGGGAGAATTGTAGAAAGGTCAAAAGATGAACGGGATTCAAGAAGATAGAAGATGACGATTGACATTGCATTTAAATTTTTGAAGATTGCAGTTATCAAGGAAGCAAGTAAACGGATGGGAGTTTCACAGGCGAGAAGTGTGAGAGAATAAACTGTTGGAATAAAAATTGTGGTTGCATTTAGCCATTTCAACAGTAAACGCGTGGGAATTAGATGCCAATCTAGTAGCATGTTTAAAATCATGTAGTGGAAACACCAGGGAACAAAGCTCGTCAGAGCAGTTGCAATTGAAATATTTATAGAAAAGACAGAAGGAAGCCATGTCACGTCTGTGGGAATGTGTCGAGATGCAATGTAATCGATCCTGAGCAGCCATCTCGATTAATAAAACTGGACGAAAAAAAAAGCTAAGGAAGAAAAAAGAAAGAAAGACAAAAAAGCCAAAATATTCAAAAAAAAAAAAAGCTAAAAAAAATTCTTCATGACTTACATGTTGGTAATCTTCTCTCTTGTACGAAAAGGTTGAGCAGTAATGGAGTCAATATTGAAAATTTACAACGAGTGATTTCTTTGTCAAAATGCGTGGAAGAGAGAAAGGAATCTAAACTAAGCGTCTTATGCACCGATAAAAAAGTAAAGGAAAGAGGAAGAATTATGAAAGAGTTACAGAAAAAAAAGTACAAAATGAATGAGAAAAAAAGTACTAAAAAAACTGAAAAAAAACATATTTCCGGATTTTATTCAAACCTCAAAAGGAAGAATCAGAGCGAAAAAAATAAGATGGCTTACATTGCGAAGATCAATGGGAAAAGGAAAAAAATGTAGAAGTGAGAATATGAAGAAGATAGAAAGAAAGGTAGACAGATGGAGGGATAATATGAATATTAGAGAGAAGGAAAAGTCGACAGAAGAAGAGAGGCTTTGAGTATTAGGGAGAGTGAAAAAGGAAAGATAGATGTTGAGAGGCAGTGAATATTAGAGAGAAAGAAAAAAAGGAAAGATAAGAAGAGAGAAAGAAAGGCTTTGAATATTAGAAAGAAGGAAAGACAGGTCGATGAAGAGAGGTTTTGAATATTAGTGAGCGCGAAAAAGAGAAAGAAAGAAAAAAAGGGAAAATAGGAAGAGAGAGAAAGTCTGTGAATATTAGAGAGAAGGAAAAAAGCTGAATCAGACAGAGAGGCTTTGATTATTAGAGCGAGGGGAAGAAAGAAAATCCAAAATGAACGAGAGAAAAAAGAACTAAAAAACAGAAAGAAAAACATATTTCCGGATTTTATTCAAACCTCAAAAGGAAGAATCAAAGCGAAAAAATAAGATGGCTTACATTGCGAAGATCAATGGGAAAAGGAACCAAAATTGTAAACGTGAGCATATGAGGAAGATAGAAGTCAAGATGCCTGGTCAGATCTTTTACATTGCAGATCTTCCTTTGGATTTTGTCAAGAACCTCAAGATGAGTACTAGAAGCACCAGACCAGGTAGTGATTTTCCAAGTATTAGATACAAAGCTGAAAGTAGGGAGCACCCAGTGAGGATCGAACTCACTACCCAGTCGTAATTGTTCTAGCATGACAAGCTCGCTAACCATTACACCACATCGAGGTGCACTAGTGATTTTTTAAGCACAGCTTAGATGTGGTACAAGACGGAAAGTAGGAGGCACCCAGTGAGGATCGAACTCACTGCTCATTCGTAATTGTTCTAGCGAGAAAAGCTTGCTAACCATAATATTTTCTAAGTGTAGCTTAGATGTGGCTCAAGGCCGAAGGTATGTGGCACCCAGTGAGGGTCGAACTCAGTACTCAGCTGTAATTGTTCTAGCGAAACAAGCTGATTACGCCACGCCGAGGTGCTCATAATGATTTTCTAAGCGTACTTTGGCACAAGGTTTGAAAGTATGAGGCACCCAGTGAGAATCGAACTCACTACAGTCGTAATTGTTCTAGAGAAACAAGCTTGCTAACCATTACACCATGTCGAGGTGCCCAGATATGGCTTGCAGTATTCAATGTGCGGACATATTGTAGATTTGTAAACATCACTTCTAAATGTTATATGAACTGATTTTCTTTTTCAAACTAATTTTCTGAGCGAGTCATTCTCCGCAAAATCTCTAAATTTTAGATCGAATATAAATTTCTTCTTCGCATCCCAATTCACAGAAACATCGTCGTTAACACCGATTTTTTCTATGTGCCGTGTCCCTTCAGGACGTAGGCGATCATGGCTCTCCACTTCCTCCTATCCCTAGTAGCTCTCAATAAGTTTTGTCCCTTTGCTACTTTTCCTCGGGCTATGTTCTGTCATCAACTTGCTTAAGCCCTCTAGGTATGTCACGCGTTGCTTTCCCCTGTCTCGCTTTCCCTCTATTTGACCCGTGAGTATCAGATTCTCCAAACCCTCCTTTCTCATTATCCGAGAAATTTAAGCTGTCTCTTCCTGATGTTAAGTATAAGCTTCCTTCTTATTTGAATCCTCTCCAAAACCTCATCGTTGCTCACACGCTCGGTCCATGGTATCCTTAGCATCCTTCTGTAGAACCATATCTCTGCTGCCTCGAGTCTCTTCTTCATCTTTGAGGAGACCGTCCAAAATTCGCTGCCGTAAAGTACTCTTTTCTTTGTTACCAAAGAAATCCTCCTGTCTCGGAATACTCTGCCTCGCTTTTAGAATGCGTCTTTGGCAATCCCAATAAGTCTTCGAATCTCAGTGTTGCACTTACCGTCCTCTGTCAAAACACTTCCCAGATATTTAAATTTCTGCACCTGCTTGATTTTAGTGTCCCCGACCTGTTACCGATATAAAATTCAAATTCTGACAGCTATCAACAGCCGTAATATTTTTTTCTTCCCGCTCTTAAGGACATCACAACGATGATCGCTCTTTTGCCAAATACGATTTGAAGAGAGAAAAACTTAATGTATAATTTGCTGTAAGCCATTTATTCATCAACTAAGGAAAAATGTTATTTTATATCAGTGTTTAAAATGTACCTGACAGCGATTGCCGACAAGTGAGCAAAGAGTTGGAAGAAGGAGAGGTTTGAGTAATTCGTAGCGAAACCTGGATTTGTTTCTGTCTTAAATAGGAAGTAACCAAGAACCCTACAAGCGAGAAGATTGCGCAGGAAAATTGAGCAAAATGCCGACTGACGGGTGCAATAAGATGCTATTTTTTTCCGACCAAGTGGAATATTAAATAAACCACTGATTGTTTCCAACAGAAAAATACCGTTCGCCATTTTGTTTTGTCTTTTTCACTTCATCTTACTTTTTGTTATTTTTCGCCCCATCATTACAGGTTTTTTTTTTTCGGTGTTTATTTTCTATTTTCTCGATTTGCATGTGTTTCCTGCAAAAAAAAAATATATATATATATATACTTTCTTCTTACCTTTCAATTTCGTCACATATATGTCTCTAATTTTGTTTTTTTTTTTTTTTTTTTTTTTTTTGTTGTTTGGCAGCCATATTTATTGTCTTTACTTCATTTAATTATTTAATGATTCACACTTAATTTCTTTTCGCTACTTCTTGTTTTTAGATTAAAGCAATCGCCGAAGTCCGCATTTCTTTTTCTTTTTTTCACCTCTAATATATTCCTCTTAATCTCTTGGCCTCTTTTTCTTTCTTTCAATGTTCACAGCCTCTTTTCTTCTTCCTACTCCTGCTTCTTTCTTTCTATTCATAGCCTCTCTTTCTCTTTACACAGTTCTTATTTCGGCCTCTCGCTAATATTCACACTCTCTTTATCTCTTCTTTCTTTCTTTTGTATATACTCACAGCCTCCCTTTCGCTTCTTTCTTTCTTTTGCTAATATTCCAAGCTTTTCTGTCTCTTTTTTCATTCACGCTCTAATATTCACAACTTCTCTTCCTCTTCCTATGTTTTCTACTTTCTTTCTCTCTCTAATATCTACAGTCTCTCCCCCCGTTCCTACCTTTACCGATTGCCTTTTCTTTTCTCAAACATTCACAGCCTCTGTTACGCTCCTCCTTATTTTCTCTCTCTCTCTCTCTCCTAGTCTCTAATATGCACAGTCTGTCTTCCTCTTCCAAACCTTTCCTTCTTTCTTTCTTTCAGTCTCACTCTCACTCTCTCTAATATTCATTGTCTCTCTTCCTCTATCTGATTTCCCTTCTCTCTAATATTCATGGGCTCTAGTCCTCTGTCTACCGTTCCTTCATTCCTTCTCTCTAATATTCAAGGCCTTTCTCACTCTTCCTACCTTTCATTCTTTCTTTCTCCATAATATTCTCCGCCTCTCTACACCTCTCTATCATTGCTTCTCTCCCTCGCTCTAATATTCAAAGCCTCTCTTCTTCTACCCACTTTCCCTTCTTCCCCTCGCTCTAATAATCAAAGCCTCTCTGTCTGATTTAGCTTCCTTCCTTCTCTCTAATATTCACAGGCTCTTGTCCTTCGTTCCCTCTCTCTAATATTCAAAGCCTTCCTTCTTTACTTCATCCTTTCTCTCTAATATTTACAGATTCGAGGCTCCGTCTACCGTTCATTCCTTCCCTCTCTCTAATATTCAAAATCTCTCTTATTCTGCCTGATTTTCCTTCTTTCCTTCTCTCTAATATTCACAGCCTTTCTCTCTTCCTATCTTTCTTTCTTTCTTTCTTTTTCTCGCTCACTCTCTCTAATATTCACTGACTCTCTTCCTCTGACAACTTTTCCTACTCTCTATTATTCACAGTCTCTCTCTCGCGTTTCTTTCTATTCTTCTGTCTAATATTCACAGCCTTTCTCTCTCTTCCTATCTTTCTTTCTTTCTTTCTTTTTCTCGCTCACTCTCTCTAATATTCACTGACTCTCTTCCTCTGACTACTTTTCCTACTCCCTATTATTCACAGCCTCTCTCTCGCGTTTCCTTCTTTCCTTCTCTCTAATATTCACAGCCTTTCTCACTCTTCCTACATTTCATTCTTTCTTTCTCTCTAATATTCACCGCCTCTCTACATCTCTCTATCATTGCTTCTCTCCCTTGCTCTAATATTCAAAGCCTCTCTTTTGCCCTCTTCTCCTTCTCTCTCATATTCGCAATCTCTCAGCCTCTGTTTACCTTTCCCTCCCTCTATGAATCAAAGCCTTCTGTCTGCTTTTTCTTCTCTCCTTCTCTCTATTCACAGCCACTCTTCCGCCTACCTTTCCTTCTCTCTAATATTCACAGCTTTTCTCTCTCTTCCTATTTTTCCTTTTTCTTTCCCGCGCTCTCTAAGATTCACAACCTCTCGTCTTCGACCTGTCTTCCCTTCTTTCTAATATTCAAAGCATTTCTTTCTCTCTTCTTATCTTTCCTTCTTTCTTTCTCTCTAATATTCACTGCCTCTCAGCATCTATCTTTCCTTTTTCCACTCTCCCTAATACCCAAAGCCTCTCTTCTTCTGTCGACCTTTCCTTCTCTCTAACATTCATATCATCCCTTCCTCTGTCTACCTTTCTATCTTCCTCATATCCTCACTTATACATTTTTTTTTCTTTTTCCCATTGATCTTCGCAATGTAAGCCATCTTATTTTTTTCGCTCTGATTCTTCCTTTTGAGGTTTGAATAAAATCCGGAAATATGTTTTTCTTTTTGTTTTCTTTAGTTCTTTTTTTCTCATTCATTTTGCACTTTTTTTCTGTAACTCTTTCATAATTCTTCCTCTTTCCTTTACTTTTTTTATCGGTGCATAAGACGCTTAGTTTAGATTCCTTTCTTTCTTTCACGCATTTTGACAAAGAAATCACTCGTTGTAAATTTTCAATATTGACTCCATTACTGCTCAACCTTTTCGTACAAGTCATGAAGAATTTTTTTAGCTTTTTTTTTTTTAATATTTTGGCTTTTTTTTCTTTCTTTTTTCTTCCTTAGCTTTTTTTTCGTCCGGTTTTATTATTCCAGTTCTAAGCATCGTACTGTTTTCTGTCTTTCAAATTCTTTCATTTTATTATGTTTCTTCTTCTTTTTTTTCCTTTCCTTTTATCGTTAGTCTTTTTGACTTATGTCACCTGTTGTATTTGTTTCTTTGCTTTTTGCTTGCTTTGTCGAAAATGAATTCGACTGAAAAGACCAGCGACGAGATAGTTAGTGAATGACCAGGTTGCAAAAGAAAACCTCCTTCTTTTGTGACCCTCTCCGCTAGGGTCAGGTAACTACAGTAACGACAGGAACAATAATAAAAACTTGTTCCGCTGTCGACCAAAAAGCACTGGAGTATAAGGTGGAAGGATTTTTATAACATACCTCTGCCCTCACCTCTTCCGCCAATCCAAATGGAAGTCGACTAAATCGGAGGGGAATGAGGCGTTCGCGCCTTAGGACTTCCCGGTCAACATGACATCACCGCTTCAATCACGTAAATCTATTCTTCATTATTTCCGACAGTTTGTTTTGTTTTTTACCCTACAGGGGTTGCGATTGATTTGTTTGTTTTTTTTTTACGGTTTATCAACCCTTTGGGGGTTAAATAAAGCCGAAACATACTTTGTATTGTAAGAATAATACTTTTCCTTCTTTTTTTTTTTAGGCGTGTGAACATTGCATTAACAATTTTTGGAGATTAACAATGATTTTTCCAAATGCAAGTTGTACTGTTTAACCCATAGCGGGGGGTGATTGATTCATACATTCTTCAGGTGTTTTTGCACATAGGTGAATGTAACGAACACGACTGTTCGATTTTGCTTACGAACCGCTATTACACCACCCACGCATTATATCCGAACGAGGGAACGTTAACGTTATTTCTAGTGGATACTCATATTTAAGTAGACGCCCTCTTTATTTATTAAACAGTATGTTTGTTTATTTTCGTCTACCGGCCTGAATATTCAAGAAGTCTTAAAATAAAGATAAGCGCTCTTCGACGTGTTCCCCCGTGCAGGGGTGGGGGACCTTCGTTAGATCCGGCACGATCTACAGAGACCACTTAACGATCGGGAAAGGTTGAATACAATAAAAATCAAACCGACATATCTTACCCGCTTGAATTTAACTAAACCTGCTTAAATATATGATTAAATTATTTCTGGAAGAGACACCCTGCTTGTTTGAAATCTTCCCTAGTTCCCATCTTTTATTACTCTGGTGCGCCTTCTCATTTTTGAATTATCATCCTATTAGTCCTTTAACATTTTTTGGCAAATTACCACAGGCTCTAATCAAATCCAAATTGGTTAATCATCTTACTTCCCACAGCCTTCTTTTAAATAAATAATATGGTTTCTGCTTTTCTAAATCAACCATCGATATGATAAAGATTTTTTTTCAATCAGTACAGCCACTGAGATGCAAGGTTACAGGATGTGGAAGAATTAAGAACAAAAACATTAGTAATGAAGAGAAATAGAAAACAGCAATCAGGCGGACAATAGATAGCAATTGACATTTCATTTAAATTTATGCAGATTAAAGTTGGCTGGAAAGCGTGGAGCGGAAGCGAGTTCCACAAGTGAGAAGTGTGAGAAAAGAAACTGTTAGCATAGAAGTTAGGGCTACATCTAACCAGCTCAACTGTAAATTGATATTCACAAAACCAAGGCCCAACAGCGACGAAAAACAGGATTACTGAATGAGGTTGTTGCATGAACGTAAGAAGAGAAGATGAGAAGTGAAATCCATGACATTCACTTACATGCTAATACCCTTGGGAAAGGCATGAATCCTTTTGTTATCCCCGTCAGCTATGGGTAAATAGCAGGACAGACTGGGTTCTATAGCCTTGGATGGCAACTGGTCTACCGCAGAAAGAAATTTCAACCTACTGCGGGAAAAATCTGCCTCGTCAGTCATGATCGCCTTAGCGTGTATCAAGCATGGCACATGACTGACTGAAATTCACTTACGGGCTAATACGGAAAGGGAAAAAGGTATGAAGCATCTTCTTATCCTCCCAGCTCTGGGTAAATGGCAGGACAAGACCGGGTTTTATAGCCTTGGGTGGCAACTGGCCTAACGGAGAAAGAAATGGCAACCTACTGCGAGAAAAAAATCTACCTCCTCAGTCATGTATCGAAAGATACATGATCGCCTAAGCGAGTATCATGCATGGCACATAACAGACTGAAATTTAGTTACGTGCTAATACCCTTGGGAAACGTATAAATCCTCTTCTTATCCTCACAGCTATGGATAAATAGCACGACAGACAGGGTTTTATAGCCTTGGATGGCAACTGGTCTACCGCAAAATGAAATGGCAATCTACTGCGGGAAAAAATCTGCCTCGTCAGTCATGTATCGAAAGATACATGATCGACTAAGCGTTTATCACGCATGGCACGAAACTAATTGATATGAAAAGTGCAGATTATAAGGATATGTAGGAAAGATAACGATTAACCCTCGACTTGAACAGGTTAAGATTGTAGTAATTAGGAAAACCTGCCCTCGAGAGTCTGGTGCACACAGAATCGGTTCTTGGGCAGAAGCTGTTGAAGTGGAACTTGCTTCTTACTAATGGCATACAAAGGGAATTGGAATAGCTTGTTCCACTGTACTTGGCATAGCAGGTCTTGAAAATAGCCCATAAGGAGATTTGCCATAATAAAGTAACGGAATAGCGAAATTTTTCAGTGTAGGAGGGGTTGTAAGGTGTAAAATAATTCATCACCTAAAAGGCCGCGTAGATGTTTGTGTGCAAAATAAGTTACCAGCGATGAAATCTCTCTATAGGGATGGAAACACTGCTGTTGCCTGTTCGGAAAATTTGATTGAATCTTACTGTTTTGTTTGTTTAACGACATATCAACACATTATGGGTTAATGTCAGAATTTAATTTTCTTGGGAGCTTTGAAGTAATAAAAATATGATATGTTATTCTGCTTTCACAATTGAATACATGGTAGATGATACTCAGCTTTTGTTCATATACATCTTTGTGTGAACATAATTCCTAGAGGCAATGATGTGTTTTATGTTGTAGTTTTGTTTAAGTTATATTTTCGAATACAGTTTGATTTCTTTCAGGAATTGTAGGATATTATATTGATTGATGTCTGGAAAGTGTTTTTTCATGTGTATTGATCTATTGTTCGTAAATTTACTATACATAGGTATTGTTGGTAATGTCTTTTTATATAAAAATGTATTGCCGGTATTTTTATAATTTTATGGGGTTTTATTTTTGTTTGGGAGTTCAATATTTGCCCATAGCTGGGACGCCCCTAACAGCTGCTAACCCCACCCCACCAGGTCAGGTTGGACCTGGGAACAACAGCAATTAAAGGGGTGGTTCTACACTCCTCAAAACCTGCTATCTTCTGATCAGAGGCCTTGCTGCCAGATGTAGTTTATCGTCATACCCAGGACCAGTCATTTGAGTCGTACCCATCGGCTTTTGGGTGAAGTTTTATTTGAGATATTTCTACACCTGTGTTGCGGTCAAGAGGACAAATGTCCTCTTAGTGAAAAATGAAACAGCGCTTTCACGGTTACAATTTCAACAGCGAGTAATTTTATCAGCAAGCAATTGACGTTATTAAATTGACTGACAAGCGGTTCCCCGGTTGGACATTAAAACCTCAAGTGGCGGAACTGACCTTAAAGGCAACTACCGGCCATCATCTTACTTATTCTTGTGGAACTTTTTTTATATGAAATCAATAAGGACATTCATAATGAAAAGGAAAAAAAAACGAAACAATCATCCATGATTCTGTTCTGCAATTTGCTATTGTTTTGATATGTGTTTTCGTTTTGTTTTTTATGTTGAAAAGATTTCTTTTCTTTTTTTCTTTTTTTTTACAGCTGAGTGTTACGCGTTGTGTCGACCAATCAAATGACATGAAAGGATTTTCTGTTGAAACAAATGAAACTGGTTCCTCTCGTAAGTTATAGAGCGTCATTTCGATTGGCCAATTTTGTTCCTTTGATATCAGACGATTCTTTCCCACCTGAATATATGGAGATCTCCCATTTCTTCTCTCTGAAGCAAGATTCGTGCGTGAAACGCTTATGAGTTGGTTTCAGATTGAGAAGACAAGCTTCTATTTCAGATAAATGAGATATTTTTGAATGCTTGCTGACATTTCAATGACTTTTTTAATCAGTATTTGATTATATATCGACTAACATAGAAAGCTATATGAAGTGACATAGACAGGTAGATGTGAACAAACTCACACACACATACACATACACACATACACATATGTATATATATATATATATATTGATGCATGTTTCATTAAATAATATAGACAAGTTTTGTCTATTTATTTTATGTAAATTATTTTTTAAATCATCTGATAAGCTTAATAGCATTATCATTAAAAGAAGAAAGAAAATCACAATATTGATACATATTTTTTAATTCAATCCAAGCTTTCGGCTTACATAAGCCATTATCAAAGATTACATTACAATATATTAAACAATACGCGGACAAAACAATAATGTCTGTTTTTGTTTACATGGAAGATTTC